CGTAGGAATGTTTCGAAGCAAGTTGCATAACCTCCGCTCCCGAGGCAATTGAGATGGCAATTGGCAAGAAAACCAACCGTGATTGAGTTTCGCAGCAGAAACGATATTCGTGCTGTTTGAAGGAAATTGATCTGAAGTTCTTCGCCGATAGATTTCGCCCCAAAGTGCGAGGGAGTTGCAAACGTACTTAACCACGTCCGGATCGATCCGAAGCCCGAACCGGGGAGTTTTGCACAATGCGCTCAATCGTGTGACCCACAGCGGCGCAACGGTTGAAAATGGAAGACCCACAATGCGACGACAGGTTGCCAAAGTGTCGTAAGATTAAATTGAAGTGCAACTACGTGCGACGACGCCGGCGACGATGGCATGAATGAAGCAATTTTTTAAAGCAAAACGACAAATGGCTAGTAGCAGTGTGTCAATTGCTTTGTGTGTGGCAGCAATCGACGTTTTCACTCTGGCAGGCAAATTCCTGAGCGACGAGCCATGGACACGGACGACACCGCATTAAATAATAGACAAATATAGGAAATTCATCAACTTTCACTTAGCCATTTCGTACATCATCGTCAAAGTCGTCAAAGTTAGTTTTGTTGGGCACTGTCGACATTTTTTGGATTGGTTGTCATATTCCATCGTATGACAAGTCTATCGCAACCTCTGCCGGGGTAGTACCTAGGTACTTCTAATGCAGCACTAGCGTGGGGTGCTAGGAGGAAACGCTTGGAGCGTAATAATTACAGCTCTGCGTGAAAATGAATTCGCGAACGGCACACACACACACCGGTGGGGAAGTAGCTCACTGGTAGAAGGTCTGCGAGCTCTATTTCGCCTGACCTCTCTGTGACTTGTTTCCTCTCTACTGTTTGTGCTTCTCAGACTTTTTGCTTGAAGTGATGGCGTTTGCCGGTTGGAAAGTCATGAAACGTGAATTGCTCTTATTTGCATTGAAAACAAAATTGCACCATTATGAAGTTATAAACAGCTTCTTGTGATGGAAGCGTGGAAGAGGTTCAGCTAAAAAAATGATGAAAGGTGATGACCTGCTCATTTGATTGTTTTATGGCAGGTTGTTGAAAAGTTATTGGTAAGACTTGAGAAGCCATGAATATGTAGGAAACTAAAGACCAGAGCGTTTAGGACCAAATTCCTCGTGGTTAGCTGATGATCACGAAATAGCGAAACAGTTAAGCGAAATATGAATGCCTGCTGATTGAAATAAAAAAACACGCTGCCACAAGGTGTCAACAATTAGTGTCTTTCGTTTTAGGCGATCACTGCAGCATTTAAGTAAAATCCTACTATCAACTGAAACCACCACGGCGTAAATTTTTAGTACAGCGCCATGCTGGTCTCTTAAGCTGAAGTCAACGCGTTTCAAAGTCAATCGTTAATTAAAGCAGGTTGGAATGACGAAGGGGACCCTACTTATACGTGTCATGAAATGGAAATAGAAACTGGACTTTAATCGTACTCGGTCACACTCGTACCGTACTAATGGGTTGTGTGTTAGCTGATGTTATCTTCAAAACTGGGACAAACGTGCATCACGTGTTTCTGCTCTAAATGGGTTGCATAATTTGCTGAAAATACTTTCAAACCATATAAAATCACTGCGTAACTTTTCCTTCGTTGTAACGTAGCTATTGTAAAGATTGAACATCAAAACAACAAATTTGCTCGAAAACTGGTTCTGAGGGCGTGTTTTAGATTTTTCCGTTTACAATGTACCGTGCCGATTCAAATTTCGGACACTTAAACTCGAATTTCGGACACTTTTAAAAGTTGATTATCTCGGTCGAATATGATCCACATGTCTTGTAAATTTTAATTTTTTTTGACTAGTGCCCTCCACGATCATCTAACATTATTACTTTGTTTCTAACTGGATGTAATATTAAATTAAAAATGAAAGTGTCCGAAATTTGAATCGTCCGAAATTTGAATTGGAATGGTACAATTTTGCAAGGAAATATACACATGTTAATAATTCATGAGTGCAGTAATGAAATTGGGTTGTTAGCAGAATGCGTATTTCGACTACAATGTGCAGTTTTCATCAGTGTCATTCCCACTAAAGAACTTATCAAGTTTCATTTTTATACCTGTGATCTTGACTTTTTTACCTATGGGATGAGTACTTAAGGGGGTTAGATTTTGATAAGTTCTTTAGTGGGAATGACACTGATGAAGACTGCACATTGTAGTCGAAATACGTATCTGTCATGGATACCAAAATTAATTAAGTGGAATTAAATGGAAGATAACGTTTTTTGCTGTTGTATTAAATTCATGAGTATTTTTTCATTGAATCAATTCAACATGGACGATTAGATTGACTCAAAATTGAGCTGAATTTGAGTCAATTTAGCAAAAAGTGCATTTCCTCACAAAATGAGTGAAATTTGCGAACTTTTCTATTAAAAATTTCTCAAATATGAGAATAACCAACAGTCTATTAGTGTACAGCTAGACAGAGTAAAAGTTGCGTCGATTTTCCTAATATTCGATCAGATTTTTTTTTGGAAAAGCTCGGAAAATTTTGCTAACTTTGTGAGCAAATCAATTTTGTTCAAAATAGAGTCGAATTCAGCTAAATTTTGGGTCGATCAATACTTACGCTTCTTGGTAGAATACGGATATTTAAGTACACATACCTAAACACAATCGGGATTATAAATGATGCACAACTTGTTTAGGTGGGTCAGGACATCGCAGAGGTCTTATTGATCCAGTGGATCAAATAGGCTGAACTCCTGTACAATTTGGAGAACCTAGAACATCTTATACACATGGAAATGAAACCTAAATGATGCGCATAATCTCTATGAACCATCTTCATCTTCTTCCTCGCATTTCAGGTTTATTGCTTATCGCATATTAGCTTATTGCGTGCTCTCAACTTAGTGTTCTATATGCACGTCTACAGTTATTAATTGAGAGCTTTTGAAACCTGTACCATATTTACATTAGTATAATTGTGTGGCAAGTACAATCATACCCTATGTCCCAGGAAAGTCGAGAAATTTTCCAACCCGAAAAATTCTTAGATTGGACCGGGAATCGAACCCAGCCACCACCAGCATGGTCTTGTTTTGTAGCTGTACCTTTACCGACTGAGCTAAGGGAGGCCCTTTACGAACCTGTTTGGAGTTATTTCGTAACTGAAATCAATCATGGTTTATCTGGAAGATCATTTGATCTGAACTCCAAGGTAATTAGAAGATCCTTGAGTATCTAAATAATATACCTCAAAATAGATAATAAGTGATACGCAAAAACTCTATGAATATGCTTTAGTCGGTGTTCTCACTGAGGACATCGCGCAGCCCTTGGTTGATCCAGTAGTTCAAATGTACTGAGCTCCTGAACAGTTTGGAGAACTTAGAACATGTTGCAACCAAGCAAATTAATCTAGAATTGTTAAATTGGATAACATAGCAGTGCCGTTGCTAAAGATATCATCGCTGTCCATATTGAAGTCTTGTTCTTCAACATAATAACTTCATAAGGCTTTGGAGATCTAGCCCTTTCAATTTGGCTATAAACTATTATTATTGAATAGTTCACACACACAACTACAACTTTGCTGATGAAAGTATGTATCTATCTATTACTTTTTTTTTATGGAACCAATCATATACGACCATCTGGGCTCGAAAGGGTTAAAGTATAACCAACCGGTGGAAACTAACGACTTAAAATTGACTCACTACTTGACTAGACTATTGGTCCCAAGCAAATCGATCAACGTACCCCACTTTAGTCAAAATTCTAGTACTACACTATGTTTGTTTTGCTTCGATGGAAAGTTTGACAGATAAAATGAGGGGTCGTGAATTTGCCTATGTTTCGAGGGGTGCATCGATTAGCTTGAGACCGAAGATAGTACCAGAGCTGAGCCAAAAAGTTGAGCACGTTTCTTCGGGACCTTCTGGCCTTAGAGTTACCTCTATGGTACAACTCTATAATGTAAAGGAGCTTGAGATTGAACCCTAAATTTTCTGCTCAGTAAGGAAAATCGGTCGCCACAAGGCCACCAAGCTCCTTATATCACAAAAAAATTACGACCAAGTTCCCATTCAACTTGCGGTTACTAGATTTCGATCCCGATGGCGACCTCATCAACGACGACAACAACTACTCTTGAGAACGATTTAACATGGATTTGTGATCAACGCGTCTTTCCTTAAATTCAAATATCACTTCTTTTACGTACCCGTCCCTACAACCGACATACTTTACGCTTTGTATCATATTTTGAAAAAAAAACTCGATTTACACTAAAACTCAATAATGTGAAGAAGCTTGAAATTGAACCCATAATTTTCTGCTCGGTAAGCAAAATCGGTCGCCACAAGGACACCGAGCTCGTTATTTCACTAAACAATTACCACAAAGTTCTTGTTCAAATTGCTGTTACTAAATTTCGAGCCCTGCGGCGATCTCACCGACGACGACAACAACATTGATTTGATATGGTATTTTAATTATCAACTACTCTGTAGGCAGAACTATGTTTTACGTGCAATAAATAAGGGGTTCTGGTCATAATTGCCAAAATGCAATGTTTGATTTTATTGTGTTTATGAATGTGTTTTTGTAGTTTATTGTCCATATTTTCATTCAAATCAGTATCATAATGAAATAGGGGAAATGGCTCTAATGTTGGCCTATGGATCTAAGATTGGGACCATCGCGAAAAATCTGCTATTTATCAATTTTATCTAGATGAACGCGTCATTGAGACGGTACTAATGAAAACTCTGACTCTGACTCTGACTCTGACTCTCTGACTCTCTGACTCTCTGACTCTCTGACTCTCTGACTCTCTGACTCTCTGACTCTCTGACTCTCTGACTCTCTGACTCTCTGACTCTCTGACTCTCTGACTCTCTGACTCTCTGACTCTCTGACTCTCTGACTCTCTGACTCTCTGACTCTCTGACTCTCTGACTCTCTGACTCTCTGACTCTCTGACTCTCTGACTCTCTGACTCTCTGACTCTCTGACTCTCTGACTCTCTGACTCTCTGACTCTCTGACTCTCTGACTCTCTGACTCTCTGACTCTCTGACTCTCTGACTCTCTCACTCTCTGACTCTCTGACTCTCTGACTCTCTGACTCTCTGACTCTCTGACTCTCTGACTCTCTGACTCTCTGACTCTCTGACTCTCTGACTCTCTGACTCTCTGACTCTCTGACTCTCTGACTCTCTGACTCTCTGACTCTCTGACTCTCTGACTCTCTGACTCTCTGACTCTCTGACTCTCTGACTCTCTGACTCTCTGACTCTCTGACTCTCTGACTCTCTGACTCTCTGACTCTCTGACTCTCTGACTCTCTGATTCTCTGACTCTCTGACTCTCTGACTCTCTGACTCTCTGACTCTCTGACTCTCTGACTCTCTGACTCTCTGACTCTCTGACTCTCTGACTCTCTGACTCTCTGACTCTCTGACTCTCTGACTCTCTGACTCTCTGACTCTCTGACTCTCTGACTCTCTGACTCTCTGACTCTCTGACTCTCTGACTCTCTAACTCTCTGACTCTCTGACTCTCTGACTCTCTGACTCTCTGACTCTCTGACTCTCTGACTCTCTGACTCTCTGACTCTCTGACTCTCTGACTCTCTGACTCTCTGACTCTCTGACTCTCTGACTCTCTGACTCTCTGACTCTCTGACTCTCTGACTCTCTGACTCTCTGACTCTCTGACTCTCTGACTCTCTGACTCTCTGACTCTCTGACTCTCTGACTCTGACTCTGACTCTGACTCTGACTCTAACTCTAACTCTACCTCTAACTCTGACTCTGACTCTGACTCTGACTCTGACTCTGACTCTGACTCTGACTCTGACTCTGACTCTGACTCTGACTCTGACTCTGACTCTGACTCTGACTCTGACTCTGACTCTGACTCTGACTCTGACTCTGACTCTGACTCTGACTCTGACTCTGACTCTGACTCTGACTCTGACTCTGACTCTGACTCTGACTCTGACTCTGACTCTGACTCTGACTCTGACTCTGACTCTGACTCTGACTCTGACTCTGACTCTGACTCTGACTCTGACTCTGACTCTGACTCTGACTCTGACTCCTTAAGGATCTTGCACAATTCACACTGTAGGACATTGATTTGTTTTTGTCTATTAACCATAACCAATTATATAAAATCGTGGGCTTTTCTAAAATTAAGAACCCCAGTCGTGATGAAATGCACTAGACAATGTAACATACTGATCACTTGGAATTCGCTAACTGCATGCATAATTCAGTATTTCCAGGCTAGCAAAAAAAATGCAGACTCTACCTTGTCCGATTTGAGTGAAGCTTTGCATAATTATTTGTTATACTTACCTTACCAATCAGGCTAAGGCTTTGATGGCCTCTGCTGTCCGAAGAAGTCGTCTCCACTCTACTCGATCCTTGGCCACACGTCACTAGCCTCGCAGGTCACCTTCTACTTGGTCGATCCACCCGGCCTGCGCGCCTCTTCTTCTTGTTCCTGGTGGGTCACTTTCGAGAACCATTTTCGTTGGGTCGTCGTACGACATTCTTATGACGTCGCCCAATTTTTGCAATGTGGACGATCGATGGTTCTCCCAGCAGTTGGTACAATTCGTGGTTCATTCGCCTCCTCTGCACTCCACGGTAGATGGTACTCAACACCTTCCGTTCGAAAACACCAAGGGCTCGTTGGACCTCCACTAGCATAGTCCAGGTCTCGTGGCCCGAGAAAACCACCGGTCTAATCAGCGTCTTGTAGATAGTCAACTTCGTGAGGTGGCGAATTTTATTCGACCGGAGCGTCCTCCAGAGTCCAAAGTAGGCACAGTTCCCTGCCATAATGCATCTTTGAATTTCTCCGTTGGTATCATTAACGGCGGTCACCAGTGATCCCAAATACACGTGCTCGTTGATCACCTCGATTTCGTCACCGTCAATCTAAACTCGGGGGGGAGGCTAACATTGTCTTCCGAGGGACTTCGTGGATAGCAAGAGGAAATATCTGTCAATTCCGCCCAATGTCTTTTTGCATCCGTCTTCCAATCAAAGTCATCGTTCGACGCCGAGGCCGAACTGGCTGCGTCAAACATATCGCTGGACGCAGTTGAACTGGACTCGTTCGAAATATTGCCTGCAATGATTATCGGTGTGTCAAAAAAGTTGAAGTCTAGATAAACATTTCAAAAGGTCCTATCTGCATTGATCGATTCTCTTCATCGACTTTCTCTTTCGTCAATAACTCAGCTGCAAAACCTTTCCCTGTTGTATTTGACGTTTTGGACGCTAGATAAGAACCTCATTTATGAAACTATGTGGTAGAATTAGCGCGAAATCTGGTTGCAAAGCAGTGGTCATGAAAAGAGATAGTCGATGAAGAGAATCGATCAAATCAGATAGGACCATTTGAAATGTTCATCGAGAAGTGTTCATTTGCTCCTGGCCCGGATGGAATTCCTGCTGTTGTTCTTCGTCGCTGTGCAAACGCAGTAGCTGAGCTGTTAGCCTTTATTTTCAACCACTCGTTCGAGCAAGGAGAATTTTACATGAGCTGGAAACTGCCTTACATGTTTCCTGTGCACAAAAACGGTGACCGGCGAGATGTCAGAAACTACCGTGGGATAACCAGCCTTTCTGCCGCTTCGAATCTATCATATTCTGCGTGCTACAAAGACCCACATCTCGACCGATCAACACGGATTCATTCCCAGCAGGTCCGTAGCTACTAATTTGTTGGATCTAACTGCCACCTGTTTTACGGCTATGGAATCTAACCTATACGGACCTGAAGGCGGCTTTTGACAAAATCGATCACAAAATGTTACTCAGGAAATTATCACGATTGGGAGCCTCGAATAGACTGGTGTCATAGTTTTCATTGTATCTGATTGGCAGGGTGCTGCGGCGTCCCACATGAAAGCAATTTGGGGCCGTTACTATTTGCCATATTTTTCAATGACGTTGCATCTTCATTTGGCTATAGATGCTGATGATCTAAAGATATATGTGGTGGTACGCTGCATCGAGGATTGTCTTCACCTACATATGTTGCTCAACATATTTGTTTACTGGTGTCGGTTGAATAAATTTGTCATCAGCATCGCAAAATGCCACGTGATGACCTTCCATCGTTCCAAAGACCCGATAATTTATGAATACCACATCGATGATACTGTGCTTGATAGGGTGAAGCATGTGACCGATCTTGGTGTTGTGTTGGATTCGAAGCTCGCCTTCCATTCCCTTGGCAACTTGGCTTTATCTCCAAAATTGCCAAGGACTTCACGGATCCACACTGTCTAAAAGCGCTATATTGTTCCATCGTGCGACCGATTCTAGAAAACACTTTACTCGTATGGCCTCCAAACGACGTTACATGGAACCTAAGAATCGAGCGAGTCCAAAAGAGGTTCATACGGCTTGCTCTCAGGAATCTACCATGGCGTGATCCGTCTAACCTTCTAGAGTATCCCGCTAGATGCCGTCTGCTTGGTATTGAAACGCTTGATCGAAGACGAAAATTACAACAAGCTATGTTTGTCGTTAAATTACTCAACGGTGACGTTGCGTCGATTGCTCCTATCTTCTATCGCTCCTTGACTTCCGTGCTTCAGATAGGAAATTACGTCAGCGGTCTCTGATGCAGCCGGGATTTCATCGTACTCTGTATGGTTATAACCAGCCTGCAATGGTTCGTTTGTTTGCATCGGTTGAACATTGATTGTTTGTTTGCAAGATTGAACATAATTTAGATATTCATTAAGACACAAACATGTCAGATGATTTACTAAACAATAAATGTATTTTGTCTTCGATGCGTTGATGGTAAGTCCAATCCGCCTAGTTTCAGCCTTCAGTCTGATGTACGTTTCCGCCATCATCTCAAAGTTCCGTGCCATGATGTCGATGTCATCGGTGAAGCCAAGGAGCTGGATAAACTTCCTGAAGATCGTGCCTTCACGATTCAAAGAGACTCGAGAGTGTCCCTGATGCTCGAACAACGCACATAACTCGATCCATCGTCGCCTTCACCAATCGCGTAAGTTTATCCGTAAATCCGTACTCGTGCATAATCTCCCATAGCTGATTTCAATCGATTGTATCGAATGCCGATTTGAAACCGATGAACAAATGATGTGTGGGCACGTTGTATTCGCGGCATTTCTGCAGAACCTGCCGAATCGCGAAAATTTGGTCCGTGGTAGCGCGGGCACCCATGAATCCCGCCTGGTATTGCCCCACGAACTCTCTTGCATATGGTGACAGACGGCGGCATAGAATTTGGGAGAGTACCTTGTAGGCGGCGCTCAGCAGTGTGATCGCGCGGTAGTTGCAGCAATCCAACTTGTCGCCCTTTTTGTAGATTGGGCATACGACACCTTCCATCCACTCCTCCGGTAATATCTCCTCCTCCCAAATCTTGGCAATTACCCAGTGCTGCGTTCTAGCCAGTGCTTCACCACCGTATATTAATAGGTCACTTGGTAGTTGATCTACACCAGTTGCTTTGTTGTTCTTCAGCCGACCGATCTCCTCCTCAACTTCTGCGGTTGCTCCAAGGTTTGTTGAGGTGCTCGTCATAGCACTGCATCCACGTCTCAATCACCTCACACTCGTTCGTGATAAGGTTACCGTCAAAGTCCTTTAACTGATACTGTTTTTCAGTTAGCGGGTTTTCTGTTGGCAGGCATTCAGTTAAAAGACAATTCAGTTCAAAGTCTTTTGATCACGGTAGTTTCGGCCCATCTACCGTGCGGCAGAATCCCAAACATCAATGGACAAATCTCGAAAATATTATGTAACCTACCTGAACCATTCACCAGACTGGCCCAACTCCTGGGCAAAAAGCTCTTCGCTGGTGGTCTGAAGAGACAAAAGCGGTAGTAAAAGCTAGACGAAAGGCACTTCGGCTTGTCAAGCGCCTCCCAGCCAACCACGCGCAAAAGGAATTAGCCCTACAAACATATAGAGAACGGCACAACCATCCGGGATGCCAAACGAAATAGTTGGACCGAGTTCCTGGAGAGCATAAATGCTTCCCAGTCGTCCGCGAACCTGTGGGGAAAAGTTAACTCCATTAGCGGGAAAAGGCACACCACACCGCTATCAATCGAGATTGGCGGAACAAACATCACCAACCCTGATGCACCTATTTTGCCAAGCTTTCCGCTATCAACCAATATGAGCCCACCTTTCTCCGTAAAACAAGACCATCTACTGCCGATAGCGCCAATTTCCAAATTCCACAAGACAAGATCAAATCTCCAATTAACCAAGACTTTTTCTTCGAGAAGCTGCAGTTTGCATTGCGATACAGCACCGGCAACTCGGCCGGCCCAGACGAAATAGGTTGTCCCCTTTTAAAAAATCTTCCTTTCGGCGGAAAGGACAAAATATTGGACATTTATAACGAGGTGTGGCGTACTGGTGACTTTCCGGTCGCTTGGCGAGAAAGTTTGGTGATCCCATTCCCAAAGGCCAACGCCAGCACACGAGGTACCGATAAATTCCGTCCGATTGCGTTAACCAGCTGCGCAAGCAAGGTGCTGGAACGCATGGTCAATCGTCGACTTCACGATGCATTGGCGGAAAATGGATACCTTGACCACCGGTAGCACGCTTTCGGGCAGGAAAGGGAACCTGCACGTATTCCGCTTCGCTGGGAGAACTGTTAAAGGACACGCAGGACATGTTAAAGGACAACAGAACATGGATGCCGTTAGTACTTCAAGAGCTCATCACCTGGGGATTTAAGGGAAATATTCTTTCCTTTATCCGAGGCTTTCTGTCGCCGTGGGGAATACCAAGTTACCTCCAATACCTCCAAGTCTTTCCTGGAGGAAACAGGGGTTCAACAAGGCTCGGTTATCGCGGTGACGATTTTCCTAATAGCGATGAACGGGATCTTTACTCGTTTGCCACTCAACATCCACATTCTCGTCTACGCGGATGACGTGCTAATTGTGGCCACCGGTCGCACCATCACAAGAACCTGCATCCATGCACAAGCAGCTGTATCGGCAGTTGCCAAATAAGCGGCCTCAGCCGGGTTCCCATTCTCAGCAGCAAAGAGTATCCGCTGTCACGTCTGCGCTTCCGGTCACCGAGTCGGCGGCGCTTCTATCACG